TTCCAAAAGTTACATACATCCACAACGAGAAAATGAAAGTATTTCTGCAGGGTACCCTGGAAGCCAACTAGCAAACAAAGCAAAGAGCTTGGGAGAGGGCTTAAGTGTAAACTTGGGCAAAGATACTAGAGCACAATCGTTCCTTTTAAAATACTCGGGGATCTTTAATGCTAGCACATGAGGCCAAACCTCAGCAAGCACAGTGTGGATCATAAAAAAAAAAAGTCCTAAGGAAATTAATTCAGGATCTCTGCATAAAATAACTGCCTAAATTGAGGTTTTACAAGTCAACCTTGGCTCTTGGTACCAGTCAGGCTGCCCTGTTTTTCACTGAGGTCCTCAGGGAACTGGAACAAACCCCTTGACTCTTCTAGATTTGTACAGCTGTTGATAAGAATTTAGGGGAGCAGGAGCAATTAACACATTCCCCTCTTCCTTGGATACAACCCCCTTATAAGATTGTTTTCCCTTTTCTTTTTTTCACCTGCTTGCAGACTACATCTGAGGAGCAGACCACTTTCACCGTCACTTTTCCAAGTAGAGAAAATATTAATATATTTCATTATTATTTTAAATTAATTGTTATAATGATAAATTCAGCACAACTTTGAGATGGGTGAAAGTAGAACAAGTCACCTGTGACTGATGACAAACATGCCTTACCACACTCACAGCCATCGGCGTGATGGCTGCGATGAAATAACCTGACCTGAATAACACAGCAATGCCCATGAGACAGAGTTCCCGGCTTGCGCAGAGCAAAATAAGCAGGGCTCAGCCTAAGTCAGAAGAACGATGGAATGAATTGGCTGACGGAGACTTGAAACTGCAGTGCGAGAACTTTCGTATTACCAGTTCAGTGCTTAAGGCACCGAGGAATGCCCTCCAGAGCTAACTGTTTATATGTAACATAAATAGTATAAACAGCTAAGTGCTGGAGGGCATATACATACATATAGATGTATGTATAAAAGAAAGATAGAATATTTTATCTGTTCCACTCTGCACCATGAAAAGTAACACCACCATGTAAATAAACAAATGTCAGCTCTTGGAAAATGCAGGGAGGCAGAAAGTACAAAAGCTTCCTTAGCCATGTCCTGAACAATAAATTTTTCCTTCACACACACTCACATCCACTGGTCTAACTAAAAAATCAGATCCCCATTCTCCAATTAGAAAATGCTGCTGCCAAAGATACTTTCTCAAAAATCAAAGTAACACTGTCAAATTAAGCCCAAACCAAGCCCTGCTAAAAACTCTCTTCTGCCAGTTTTAAACTCTCCATTGGGAAAAGATAATTATCAAATAATAGTATCAACAATGTCAGATAATCACTTTAAGCTCTTTGATGTGTTCAAGTTTACATTGCTTCAAAAGTTACTGAGTGTCAAATATTTATTCTTGAGTCCAACTGTATAAATGACCCATCCAATGCCCCTAAAAATGGCAGGCACACACATAACAAGAGCAGTGGAACCTGCAAAGCAAAAGAAACAACCCTGGGTTTTGCAAAGATTGTCCTGATAGCCAGAAGTCCCCAACGAGAGTTATAACTGCCTTTGCACTTATCTGTGTGGAAGTGTGGGGGTTTTTAAGTGGTGGACTTACAGCAAGGCGGATGGAACTTTACATTCACCTTGGAGTCAGAAAGGTATCCGGTCTCACATGTTCATTGTGAGAACTCACACCAGTGCTCCTGTCTTACGCTTCCTCGTGCCAGAGCTATACCTACTACAACTGAAGCTCAGAACTGCCCCTTGTTCCGGGACCCTGCGCACCTCAGATGTGCTCCAAGGAAAAAATCTGGAATTAGAGGAATAATGCATATAAGCTTCCACTGGATTTCCTCTTGGGAAACACCCCACAGAGGATGAATTCTGCTTAGAGATTGTTCTCTTGCCACCCATTTATAATGCACAGGACAGCAGGCTTAGTCTGCCTTGTCCTTCCTCTTGAAGTACCATTGGAATAACTGGCAGAGCAAATTCATTTTCCAGCTGTGGCTGGAGGAAAGGCAAGACCCTATTATTTCTTGGTCCATCCCTTCCCTCCGAGCTTTCGAGAAGAGGAGTACAATGCTGTACTACCTGATATATGACCCTCAGCCACTTGAATTCATTCCACTTAGACGCGTGCTTTGCTTTTCCTTTTTAACATTTGCAACAATGTTCTAAGAAGCTCTTGGTAAGGGGAATGTGTATCTCCATGACACAAAGACGTGACTTTGAACTGATGCCTTTCTCGGTTTCTTAATTAGGCAGTCCTACCAGAGCAGCAAATGAGGAATGCCTGTGTCAAGCATAGAGTGGGAGGATCAGCGATGCTGCTTCATGAGCCAGCATTTCTTCAGTGTCGGAACATGGTTCAGGGCCCCAAACATCATGCTCACTGAAGTCACATATTTTGTCAGCAGGATTACTGACCGCTAGCATGCAAAAACGATGGGGTCTTGGTCAGACCTTTCGCTTGTCCAGGACACGTATGTGCGGAGTTTTCTGGGACGTAATGCAACACGCAAGGTGGAGCAAGGGCTGTGCACAGCATCTCCAGCAAGGAGCAGGTTAACGTTCATTAGCGGTATTTCAGAAACAAGGACAACCTCTCTGCACTTAGAACATGAAAATCTTTCAATATTTTCTTTGGAGTCATTTCATTTAGCATTTTCAAACAGCTGTCTCCAGCTATTTCATAATAATAGTAACAACTAGTAAAAAAATCTGAAAACAAAACAACAAAAAACACCCCACATAGGCCTGTCCCCTGATTTCAGAAAGTTAATTTTTCTGGGACATACATTATTAGGCAAAAGTTGGGGTTTTTTTCCCATAAGGCAAGTGCAAAGCATTACATTAATACACACTGGAAAAATAAGATAATGGCTTTCTTGATTGTGAGGAGGAATGTGGGAGATTTAATCTGAACACTGAGTCAGGTCGAAGCGCCTAAACTCCCCTTGGACACAATGTTATCGCATTTAACGCTTACATCATCACCCTCACCAATGATGCTGAGTAACGCACCCCCAAAGGTCGATCCACGCACCGCAGCGAACTCCTGGGTAAGAAGGGAGAAACGACCACAAAGGTACCGTCTTAGCATACGTCAGGCACTAAGAAAGATAAGTTTGATGTCTGGAGCAGAGGGAGCGATCTATTTTCAGCTGTTCGAATAGGAGCCACGGGCCTATCAGGACGCAGTCACTCCTCTCAATGTTTCGCATGTGTGCCGAGAATTAGAGTTGGGAGGCAGCGCAGCGCAGCGCAGCATACGCCTTCGAAAGCATGGGGCACTGACTGCTCGTAATAAGTAACAGGAGACACGGCTTCGCCTCCTTGACATGTTCGGAGCAATTTCCAGTTGAAAAAGGTCAACGTATCATTTACAAAGCGGCAGTGCCTGGAAAACTCTCGTAACTCTGCTCCGCGAAACACACTGGGTGACAATAACAACTCGAGCATCGCTGGTGAGCTCGGCATTCGGAGCTGACCCGCAGGGCTCTCGGCACTGACCACTGCCTCGGGCGGAGCCACCGCCCGAGTTCGAGGGGCACGGCCGCAAACTGAGTGAAAATAGGTGCCTGAACCTCTGACGAACGGGATGAAAGGGGGCAGGGGGGGCAACTCTGAACACGGCCGATACTTTAGCGCTACTTTTCACCCCTGCTCGGGGACACGCTGACAGCGCCGGCCGCCGGTGCCCTCCTCAGGGACGCAGCTGTCACCGCCTTGGCAGGGCGATGGCAGAGGCGCGCGACGCGTGATTTTAGGACCACAACACGATTTAAAAAACAAACAAAAAACAATCAAACAGAAAACACCCCAAGCAGTCTCAAAATCCCTTCGAGGCGCACACTCGCCCCCCGCTCGGCGCCGGGCAGACCTGCCCACCGCTCCTCGCACCCTCGATGCCGTGGCGGGGGTCCAGCGCCTGGCAGGGACCACCCCAGGGTGCCCGAGGCGCGGCGGGCCGAGCTGGGCTGCCCACGGACACGGTGCCGCTGCGCGGCGCTGGCCCCGCACCGCGGGACGGTGCGGGCAGGGCAGGCGCCCCGAGGGAGCGAGCGAGCGAGCGAACGGGGGTCCCCGGCGCGGCGCCTCCCCGCCGGCAGCGGGCGCTGTGACTCACCGCCAGGAGCGCCGAGGCGCGCTGCTCCCCCGCCGGCTGCTCCCCGTTGATGCCGCCGTTGCCGAGGAGGTGCTGGTGGTAGTCCGGGGGCGCCGCGCCGGCGGCGGCGGCGGGGGCGGCGGCGGCGGCCGCCTTGGGGTGCTTGCCGGCCTTGCGGGCGCCCTGCCCCTGCTGCACGAGGTGCAGGAGCTGCAAGGTGCTCTCCCGCTCGCGGTCGGAGCTCTCGGCGCGGCCCCGCTCGTAGCGCCCCTCGCAGCTGAGGTGGTGCTGGCGGCAGACGGCGATGCGGGCCCGCAGCCGCTCCACGATGGCGCTGTGCACCCGGGGCGCCGCCGGGCCCCCCCCCAGCAGCCCGGCCCCCAGCCCCGCGGCCTGGGGGGGAGCCGTGTCGCCCATCGCTGGCTGCCGGTCCTGGCCCTCCGGATGGGTCGGTCCTCACTGCCGCATGGAGGAGGGCGGGGGGGGGGGGGGGGGGGGGGGGGCGGGGGCAGCGGCGGGAGCCCGAGCCCGGGGGCTGGCGGCGGGGCGGAGGGCGGTCAGCCCCGCGCCCCCAGCCCACCCCCGCCCGGCCCCCGGGCGGGGACGGCCCCGGGGGGGGTTGGGGGGAAGAGGGGCGAAAAAAAAAATCAAATAAAGCGAGCCGCTGCCTCCAAAATGAATCCCTGGACGGAGGAGCTCTCCCTCGGGAATGAGTGAGACTTGGCAGGTTTATTGGGTTTATTTTATTTCGGGGGCGCGGGGGGGGGTTATTCCTTGAAGTGGAAATTTAAGGCATTGCCGTGCTCGGCGGTCCGGAGAAACCCCCGGCGGACCGAAAATCTCGTAGGTTTGGTGGAGGGGGTTTGTTGGGGGTGGGGGGGGGGGGGTCTTTCTTTTTTTTTTTTTTAAGTCTTTAGTAAATGTGCAAATAAAGAGCCGGGGAAGGAGGAGGAGGAGGAGGCGGCTCGGGTTAGTTTAGTCTTTGTGCTTTCTCGTTTCTCTCGCCCGCTCGTTCCTGGCCACTCTCCGGCGTGTGACTGTGTCCGGCTGGCTGCCGCTAAACTGTAGTTCCTCTGAAAATCAGAGAGACGGATTCCCCGGTCCGGAACAATGTCAGTCAGTGGACTTCCAGACCACGTTTCGCCTTTGCTTAATCCAGCCACTGGGTAAATCCGTATTGCTTTCAGTGTTCATTTTCCCCCTTAGTGTTAAGCAGAAAGCTACGGACCCAGGCAAAGAGCTCCTCTCGCGTACTTTCCCTTATACTCCTAGATATTGAATAGTTTCAAGTACAGTTTCAAGAAAAGCACGGAGGAGGGAGGGAGGGAGGAAAGGGGAAGAGGGGGGGAAAAAAAACCACCCAGCCCCTCTTCAGACAGTAATTACAAACGGAGAGTTGCACTTACAAACTTCCAGCATTTTGCCCCCAGAACAGTCCAGCGGCCACTTTTCCTTTGTGTTTTTGTAAATTCCATGCCCGGCCCGGCGGGTGGGTGGTTGCCGGTGGGCTGTCGGCGCTGCCGGTGCTGGCGCTGCCCGCGGCCCCTCGGTGCGGCGCGGAGCGGAGCGGAGCGGGGCGCTGCGGGGGCGGGAGGCGGGTGTCACCGGCGGAGGGAGAGCGCGGCCGGGGACGCGGCGCCCGGGAGGCCGGGGCGAGGCACGGAGCCTCCCAGCGGCCGCCGAGGGGAGTCGGGCTGCCGCCGCTGCTCCCCGGGAGGTATGTGCATGGGAGGAAGCCGAGGAAATCCCCGCTCCCCTCTTCGCTCTATACCTGAGTGCCGAGCCGGGCGGGGAGCGGAGCGGCCGCCGAGAAGCGCAGCCTCCCGCGCTCCCCTTCTTCCCCCGGCGGCGAGACCTTCAGGCGAGTACGAGGGAGTTCTCAAATCAATCACGGCGCTGCGCTCCTCTGCCAGCTGGATTTCTCTGGAATAGACGGTAGAAAAACAAGCAGTGCCTTCTAGGGCGCTCGCACGCACGGGACGAGCGCACGACACGAGGTCAGGCTCGGGATGTGGGAGCTCCGCGCGCTGACAGGAGCTTCTTGGGTGTCCAGGGCAAGTCACGTAGCGCCGGCACTGTGGTTCCTCCCCGGGAAAGCCGCAGCCTTGGTTCTTCTCTCGCCCGGCTCCTCTATTTAGAGCAGGGCAATTTTAGACTGAGAGATCTGGCCCATGGAACTGGCCTTGCTGCAACTGGCAGCCGTCAGGTTCTGCGTGTTGCTGTAGGTGAGCTGTGAAGGAGGATGCAGAAATAGCTGGGAGCTGGCTGCCTTTATTAAAGCAATATGCTGTTGTACTACCGTGGCTGCATTAGCCAAATTCCCAAATACCTCTGGGAATAAAAATGGCCCCCCAAGCATGCAGACTGACATCCCTGATGGAAATCCTCTAAGGTCGTTTCGTACTAAGGTACAGCCCTTAGTACATGGATGCATCTTCTCATGCAGTTCTGCAATGGGTCCAATCAGAAAAACACACAATTTCATCACAGCATACCGAGAGCATTAAGCTAAGGATGAGGAGTTGATGATAACCCTCTCAGGTGGTTTTATTGCCTTCCAAGGTCATGCAAATAAATACTTTGAAAGCTAATGATGAAATGACACATTCCTGGAAAATCCCCCCAACTATAAAAGATACACAGCATTGGACATATGGGAAATATGAAAGCCCCTGCCTTCATGACCCCCATCTCCTTCATGTTGCAACAAACATGAAGGTTTGCTGCAACATGTGGGTTTCCAGGGCCAGCACCAGCCAGAGACCCCAGTACATTCAGACCCATGTTTGCCTCAGGAAAGGCTTTGAGTCTTTGCCAAGGGATGAGGTCTGGGGGAGCAGGCTTGGGGATGTGCTACCTTCAGCGGAAGGCATTATTGCTAACAGGAAAAAGACATTTTTTTGTTTGTTTGTTTAACCTTGAACAACTGAGGAAGAGTGGGTTATTATTTGATACATAACAGTTACTTGCATCTGTTGAAAACAATGGGTTGGCACAGCTGGAAAATAAAATGAAATTTTAATGTTTGTAAAATAGTATACAATGTTACCTTTGCTTCAGGCCTCACTTAAGCTTTTATTTGTTCTTTACAGCTCAATGTTTTGCTCTGCTTAGGAGGGTCAGTCACAGAACACATGTGCAACAGTAACACACCAATCTCATGGAGAATAAACAGGGGTATTTTACATGACAGCTTGGCTGGGATTTTCAAAGTGGCTGTGGGAATATGAAATCCGTGGTGCTGCTCCGGAAGCTATCAAGGCAGCTGGATGAGTTCTCTCTCTTACAAGATTTTGTAGAACTCAGTGACTGATCTTTCAAAACAAAGTTTTTTGGTTTTGTTTTTTTTTGGTTTTTTTTTTTTTTTCATTTTAACTTGAGAAGTTTAAGATTCACTTTTTGCCAAACAGCATCTCGTTCGGTCTGTGGTTTGATCTCCCTTTCGAGGTGAGAGGCAGCTGGCTGCGGGGCTGCACTGCGAGTCCCGCTCGCTCAATCCGCAGCAAATGCTGCCCCTGGTGTTTCACAGCAGGAAATACCCCAAAACCGTCCCTCGGCTTTCCATGTTTTGTCCAGAAGACCTTGGCGAATGCCACCACCCCTGGACACCACCATCAGTTTTGGATAGGTTCGTTGTCAATTTTCTTAAAAGCAAACTGTTCTTAACATGATCATAACATCCCTTGCGCTTTGTGTTACTAAACATACACAGGATAAAATATTTAATGTAACAGGACCTGAACAATTAATTACTTATTTTCCCCTTCTGTTGACACTGATTTGTGACCTTTTTACATGATACTGTAATCTCACATGAGCTGTCATGCTTGAGCATTTTTTTCTGTGTGAATTCCCTACTGTTATTGAAGCTCTGAGTTTCCCAAGCTGGCAGCCCCTTCCAGATCAGCAAAGTACTTATTTGTGCTGGGTTCACAGCCAGACATCCCATTGTGGTAATACCTTTACAAAAATGGAACAAAAAGACTGAGCTGAACCTATGTCACCTAAAATCTCAAGTGCATATCTTGTTCATCTGTGTTTAGAAATCATGTATCAAATTGCCTCAAAGTTGTATTAAATCCACAGGAACAGCTTAATATCAATCCTGAGGATGTTACAACTTTGGAGCTTTGAATTTTCAGCCATTTCTATTATTTGCTTTTCAGCGAGGATTCTCAGCCGTTTTGAAGGCCTACAGTTATACATACATGTATTTCCGAGGGTATTCCAAGCTAGGCAGGCTCCTATCATGCTGCTTACCTTGCAAATTGTTTAACTTTGAAGCAGAGTCTGACTGCACTCCAGTCAGTTTTCTTGTCCTTAAATTTTGGGCCCAAGGTGCATGCAACTGCTGCTCTGTTTAAACTGTAAGGTAAGCCATTTTGAACACACCGGTTTTGGTTTTTTATTTTTTTTTTATTTTTTTAAATAAGAATATACTCCCCAGAGCAATCTAAAGAAACTAGGTTTACAGGTTATTTAATAAACAACAGGGAAAAAAAACCCCAAACAACCCCATGCCATCACTTACTACCTAGGCAAATAACAAAATTTACATAAACTATTCAGGGAAGTGGTATCACTGAAGTGGTTACTATCAGGTTTTTTCAATATAATTTTGGTAGATCATATTTCTTACATTCTTTTGTCTAATCTCTAAATGCAGATTAGAACTTGGCATTTCTTTCTTCTCAAAGCAGAATCAGAAAGTCAACTTTTTAAAGTCTCTTTTGTGTATGGTGGATATTTCTCTTGGAGTAGTATTGTTTTTACATGTGTTTGTGTACCACATGTGTACACTAGCACACCCACTCTGTTTATCCAGACAGACTTACAGAAGGATAAAACCAGAAGTCTTTATTTATCCAAATAAAAGTAAACTAGAGGAGCTAAGCATGGGAATTGCCTGCAATTGCCTGAGGAACTGCTAAAAATAGCTGCTTTTTGGAAACAGGAGAAGCCTTCACTGTCGAAAAAGTAACAGTAACAACTATCTACTATTAGCAAACTACTCGCTTTCCAAAAGTTGAAGGACACAGGGACAAAAATCGCTTCTTGTCATACTTCACTGCGAGAACTGGACAGAATGTAGACTAAAAAGGGCCTTCTGTCCCAGAAGTACATCATGTTGGTAAGCCTGATCCTGTGCATAAATACCTTGTGTGAACTTCATCATTATCACCGTCTCCAGTTACAGAACTTAAACTAGAGCAGATTATCAAAACATTACAGGAACTAAAGTAATTTCCAAGTACGATCATTAATCACCCCCGCCAAGTCTAATCACATTCTGAGCTTTCTTCATTGTTCCATTAAGACAGGTACTTTATCTTAATTAGAGCTACTGCTTCAAAAATTAACACTAAAGACAATTTAAAATGTCCTATCGGAACAAACATTTTATTCTCTCACCTCCTAACTCCATTCAACTTCTCTGATGTGGAAAAAAAAACCATGAAAGACTGCTCAGATTTCTGACTTCTCCCATCATTAGATATTTGCACAATTTTTTTCTGCTAGAAATACTCTTACTGAGTAATTCTATATATAGAAAGTCTCAAGGGGTAGAGTCCTCTTTGTGCTTCATGCTGTACAAGCATGATGATCTAAATTTTTACATATTTACTCTTCTAAACAATATTTTCATTTCCTGTGGTGAAGACAAATGTAAACATGATGTAATGATACTTCACTTTTGCTGTCTTGCAGAAACACTTCAGATAAAACAACAGCCACAAAAACATTATCACTTCCTCCAATCTCAGTGAGAGGAATATCAGGGTTTAACAGAGACTATACACACAAACATCGTATATACACACAAATATCGTTTAACAGAGACTATACACACAAACCCTGCAAAATCAAATCAAATATCTGTTTCTTGCTGAAATAGAAATCAGTGATGGCAATTTGAGGCATTTTCTTAGTCCCACTGGTGATAGCACACAAAAGATTAGTAAACCTCCAGAAGCACTTTCTACCAAGAAACTTCAGCAGGATTCTTTTGGATCCCCGTTAGCAACAGAAAAACGTTCTTCTGGGAAAAAAAAGTGCCTGCATGAACAAGTAGTAGATAGCTTACACTTTTTAGGTGAATGGAGAGGAGGTGGGAAACAAGGTCTGGGATATTAAAAAATGAGTAAAACTCACTGAACAATTTGGCCATTTTAATTTTCAATCAAAATGTATGTATTCTTGAAATACTACCTTTAATCAGCAAGCCAGAATTTCCCAAACTTATTTCTTAATTTGGTAGCAAACAGTTTAAATGTAGCAAAATGAAGGAAAAGGAATAGAGAAGAATTCCTTCAGCTTTGGTAACCAGGGAGACAGATATGAGACATACCAAATCTCAGAATTTTATATATCTAACTCACAGTTTTGGAGGAAGGTATGGAAAGAATATCTTCAACATAAGTTGAACAAATCTCAATCTGTATACTCAGAATTTTCAGTTTGGTTTTGTAAATCTTGTATCTGTATGTGGAAAAAAGGAGAACTGATGCTATTAGCTCTCCCTAATAGCATATAAACCATTGCCTAGTTTCAACTCCTTAAAAAAGTAAAACCAGTTCATTTCTTACAATGAATACTGGAAAAAGGGTAGTGAATGACAAAGCTAAAGTGCAGTCTCTGAATAAAAAACTCAGCAGATGTTCACTGTTAAGCTATACACCTGTTAGCAGTTGCCTTTCCAATCAAGCTATTTGTTTCCAGTAGAGTGGTATATCTTACGGACAAATCCATGAGAAATCAGGTTTCATTAGTTTTGCTTCTGAGAGAGTAACCTGTTAAAACAATTCAGAGTGTAAACAGTATCTTGCCTTTCACTAGGTTGCCATATTAGCCACAAAAGACTAATAATGTACATAGAGCAAGATGTAGGAACAGTTCCTAACTGGATTCAAAACGCTGTGCCCCACGTTATCTTAGGCTACATCTGATTGATTTCATATGCAGCACAAAATACAGGGACAGAAACATTGAATGATTTGGGTTGGAAGATCATAATGGCCTGGGACATCTTCCATTAGACCAGGTTGCTCTGACCCATCCTGACCCAACCTTACATGCTTCCAGGAATGGGGCATGCACAGCTTTTCTGGGCAACCTGTGCCTCACCACCTTCACTCCAAAGATTTTCTTCCTGACATCCATATATACCTACCCTCCTTAAATTTAAAACTTATTAGTTGTCCTGTCACTACAGGCCTTGGTAGAAAAGTCCCTCCCCATCTTTCTTGTACGCCCACTTTAAGTACTGAAAGGCTGCAATAAAGTCTCCTCTGTGCCTTCTCTTCTCCAGACTGAACAGCCCCAACTCTCTCAGCCTGTCTTCATGAGAGAGTTGCTCCAGCCTTCTGATCAATTTAGTGGCCCTCCTCTAAACTGGACCTGCTCCAGCAGGTCCATGTCTTTCCTGTGCTGAGGACCCCAGAGCTGGATGCAGCACTCCAAGTGGAGTCTCGCTAGAGTGGAGTAGAGAGGTGAAATTCCCTCCTTTGACCTGCTGGCCAAGCTGGTTTTGATGCAGCCAGGACATGGTTGGCTTTCTGGGCTGCAAATGCACATTGCCGGCACATGTCCAGTTTTTCAGGATGGATGGTATCTTATTCAACACTTCCTAACTCCTCAAAAATCTACTCTGATTTGGGTTTCATGTAATTCTGGTAAGCCATGCATCCTGCTTCTGAGTAACTCCTACATTCTGTTAAGATACACTGTAAGAATTCCCGCTTATCTTGCATGGGCACATTAATCTATTCTCTTAGGCTTGCAGTTACTGCAAGTTGCTGCCATTATGTTTGCACAACGTAATTTGATGTTTAAAATCTGAGTAAATTGCCCCAGCTGCTTATCAGAGACAGCAATGAGGGCCCATGTATTCATTTAGATGGCTAAGCCAGACTCAGTCTGTATGACGCCTATAATATGACTCATCACCTACTCTCTCAAGAGAGGAATGACTACTGTGCTGCAAATGTAGTCAGGACCGCAGAGTATTTCCTCTGTTGCCTTGCAACTGTCTATACTGATTCCTCAGAGGAGAAATAGATTTTTGCATTTGGGTTCTGTTTA